TTGATTTAGAGCAGCTATAAATCCCAGACTCATAGCCCCCACAACCAAAGTTACTAAACAGAACAGGACCATTTGTTTCACCAAAATAAGCATTAGAACGTGCAATTGGGCCTAAATATGATATTGTGCATTAGTCAATTCATTAGTTACTTTATACCTGCTCCTCTGTATCCCAATCCTTTACAGAATACCAAAGCATCATATCTACCCCAACTAGTTTGACAGATAGCCCCCCATACTCCATTGAGACATATTTCAGCTCTACCTTCTTGCTCTATTGTACCATTGACCAGTCGGATCTCACCATCATTTGTACATGAACCAGTACCTTAAGATTTATCAAAATAGAATCATTATGCATACTGTCTTACTGTAGCAACGCAGCCCATACTCTATGGAACAGCTTGAAGGTGTAATATAACATGAACTTTGTTTTATCACGTTAGTACATTGAGATAATGACTGGTGAGTGCTACTGCAGAACTTGTAATTTAAGAGATTCCTGCTGTTGGCCCGTCCAAATCGTTCATCGTTAAAAACACTAGCATCTGTTATGTAACAAAGATTATTTTAAAGCATTATAGATGAGTCCATTGCATGTACTTACAAGTAGAATTGTATCCTAGCTGTTTGCATATGAGTGAAGCAGTGATTGATGACATACCACAGGAAGGTACCCAGTCCCCATCATAACAATACTCTACTCTTCCTTCATTACTGGTAGATCCATTGACTAGTCTTACAGTACCATTAACACAAGTACCAGATTCTAAACACATCATTATAGGTGAAAATAATTTATATTGATAACATACCTTGAGAAGGAGAATAACAAATAAGACCAACTGCTCTTGAGGCAGTGCACCTATTACAATATGATCTACAGCCACCATAGTAGCTTGTAGAACAACAGTATCTTGAATTAACGTATGAACATTGTGATAATGAAGTTCTAGTAGAACTGCATGACCAATAGTATGTGTCATAATAACCTGTATAGTATCGACCATAATAGCTATAACTTGTGGTACCTACAGTTGAGAAATTTTACAGTAACTATTATCAATAGCAAATGCATACTAACCAAGTGCTCCAGGATATCCCATTGCTTTACATATTAGTTTTGCAGTATAACAATTGAACCTGTAGCTGCAGACAGTTCTCCATGCTCCACTTTTACAATACAACAGGATTCCTTGATTACTAGGTCCTGTGTCACTAAATGATTTCCACAGTCTAAACTGCCCATTGGTACAAGAACTAGTGACTCTTCCTATAAAATGAAATTCAAACAAAGACTCATCTGTCTCATAGACTTATACCATAGCATGCCACACCAGCTACTTCAGAGCTAGAACAGCCAGCAGAATTGGCAATGTAACTGCATGAAGAGAGCCTACTGTAACTGCTGGAACAACCAACATTCCTGATCCTAATTGGTACATAGCCTCGTCCATAACCCGCACAACAAGAGTAACTGTATTGTGAAGCTATATACATATAATTAGAAGTACATTATAACAAAGTAACTTACTGTCAAATCCCAATTGCCTACAAACTACTCTAGCATCTGAATTATCCCAACCATTATCGCAAATAGTCCCCCACTGATTGTTACGACAAAATTCAACACGACCATGAGATCTGTAAGATGATGATGCAGTAATCAAACGAATATTATTGTTTGTACAAGTCCCTCCACCTATATTGTAATGAAGCATTAATATAAACTCGTTTCTCCTTTCATATCTTACTTTGACAAACAACTCCAGCTAATCTACTATGAATGCAAGAGCTGGTAAGAACTGTATTGTAGCCACAGCTAGTTATACTAGTTTCAGACCCAGTACAACTGACATAGTCCATTAGTATAGTCCCATTACCCCAGCCATAGTATGAACTAGTTTTTGCTGCAGCTCCTAGTCAAAGAAACAAATATAGTGATTAGTGACAACAGAATCCATAGCCAGTCAAGTGATTGTAGTAAAGATAAATACTGGTGATTCAGTTTGTTTGTCATGCAATCGTGAGAATTCGGAGTAGTAATAATAATCATTTAGAGCATTAGTTGATCTAATAGTAGATCTAATAGTAGATCTAATAGTAAAAGCTACATGTACATGATTAAAGCAACCAATACGTATAGTAACAGAGTGATGTTTGTATAGGCAGATTTATGTTGACTCAAAAAGTAAGATTTAAAAATCAATTATGAATAAAGGAATAGATTCGGAGTTTAGTTATACATTTCATAGTTGATATAAACACATTGAATAAACATAATGTGAAAAAGAAAAATAAGTAACAACTACCTGTCACTATACTACCCCAAAATCATAGTTAATCTAACAATAAGCTAGTATTGCATAACGGCTCACATCGCACTAGTGTAGAAGAAAAAAGTTTTATCTTTGCATGCATAATGATACAGTGACATGCATGCAGTGTGCAGGAAAAAATTAGCATTTATTATACCTGTGATAGTATATCCTAATTGTCTACAGACAACCCTTGCATCAGTAGTGCCGAAGGCATTGTGACAGACCCAGCCCCATACACCATTGAGACAAACTTGCAGGTTCCCTTCCCAGGGTCCTGATCCCCATACCAAACGTACAGAGCCAGTTTGATTAGTACTGCAGAATTCAGCATCTGTAGCAACATAATAATATAGAAATACTATTAAAAATGCACTAACTTGCAACAGTTAATGCCACTGACAGTACAGCAGCAAAGAGAAGAATCTTTTTCATTTTTCAGCCCAGGGCTAATGATTAATTGATTATTAATAAAATAACAGTTAATAATCATAAAATTAATATTAAAATAACTTACAACCACGCCCAGAGGCAAAATGCCAAATCAGCACAACGGGTTCATTGGTTCTCTAGGGAATCTGCTCGGGCTGTATAAAGAGGTCTCTTCTCTCTCTGAGACTATACGCAAATTAGCTCCAAGTGTCTCGTTAGGAAAGAGTGTGCTTCAATATGCTGACCGAGTCGCCACTGCTCATCAAACAGTTCTTCCTCCCTGTAACGTGACCCAATCACTGACCACGTGTACTGATATCAAGTCAACAATACACTGTATAGTAGAGGTAATTAATCATTAACCCTTTCCATTGGGTGGAGCTCAGTTTTGTCCATGTCCATTTGTATAGGTTTTATTACAGTATCCGGATTGGGATGCTCATGTGCTCACTAAAGGATACCAACTGGTGAGAACTAATCCCTCTGCACAAAACTAACTAACTCCATGGAGCATTTGTTAATGCATATAAATGGAATTATGCCATGCAAATAATTCTCTAGCTAGAATTTGACAAAACAAAGCTAACTAATTGCAACTAAGTAAAATTTCTTATTATCTGCATTTACATGTTTAGGTCAATGGTTTAGTATGTCCTTTGGTTGGTACTAAGTTTTTGGATTCAGAATTTCCTAATCAAGCGGTTGACATCATTGCCAATTCATTACAATGGAGCCAGTTATTTGAATGGTATAACTATTGATACTCATATAGCATTATATTTTTGTAGTATTGGATTTGAAGGTTTCTGTAACCTCATGCTACAATATGCTGTATTTGTACCACTGGATAATGCAAGCTACATACAGATCAGTGGTAAGATTATATTACCATGATCACTTTCATGTTACTAGGATATTTGCTAACAACTAATATGTCAAGGTTCATGCTACCAATGAGAAAAGTGCCCGTTAAGCCTACTAGTAAGTAATAATGATGATAATACTATCATTTTCCATTTCTAGGTAGTCCTGATTTGAATCATCCTTCAACAAGGTGGCATTACTTTAATTCTTTAAGTGTATTTATTATCGTGTTCTGGTAGGATTTCTTCATTAAAGAAATCTAATGTCAGCATGTCCCATTTATGCTATGGATGTAAGCTGCCTCTGTCTCCAGGTAAAAATTATGATTGTGTGATCATTCTGCCATTGTAATTTTGATTATTGCACTTACTTTAGGTAACTTAATGAGTTATCACACAAAACCAGCTACTAACTCAGAAGTAAAGAGCTTGTCGCTTGCAATCTTTAATGATTCTGGAAGCAAATCAAAAACATGCATGAAAGTCAGTATTATTTATTAATTTTGTTCTTTCAACTGTAATGTGAATGATGGTGTTGCAGAGGATACAGAAGGTATCAGAAGCCATTGGCATGCTTTGTTTAATGAAGAAACACAAGTAAGTGCGTTCATTGAAAAGTTTTGTTATTTATGATAATTATTTAGATCTATAAGCTACAGGGAACTCCTTAAAAAAGCTTCGTCAGCCACAGTCAGTGTGGTATTATTATTTATTCATTTCTTTCTTCTCTTTAGTCTCAGAATCCATTTGGTGGTGATGCTGCTGATTTAATATCACAACATGTTCCGTTAAGTGAGGTAGGAGGAAGCTATTCTTGTAATCAAACATTATTATTCATGTAAAATTAATGCTTAATGCTGATCAGGTTAAAAGATTTGTAGTGTCGTCATTGCTACAAGTGGTACCGAAACTAGCATGGGGTTCAAATAGGAACAAGAGATTGGTTTTGAAAGGTTTGTATATCTTCTCTTGCCGTAAGAGATATGTCTCTTGATTTTTATTCTTCAGCTGTTTTGGAGGTATTATCATTGCATAATCATGAAACAAGATCACTCACTCACCTAACCAGAGGAATAAAGGTCAAAAAAGAGTATCATGCTCATCTTTTTAATTTTTTTGTGTTTGCCTTCAGATCTCAGAGTACAATTGGGTCACTGGTAAGATGGGGGAGAAGCAATACACCCATGTACCACCATCCCAGAGTCTAAGTGACGAGCTGATGGTTTTATTGTGGATCAAGTGGCTGATTGAAGGATTCGTCCTACCACTCATTAATGTAATGGAATTAAGTGTATAATGCCTTAAAATTGCCTTTATGATAATACCATCATGTACTCTTGATATAATACATTGTTCATTTATAGAAATACTTTTATGTAACTGAGAGAGGAGGCTCAACCAGGAATGTATTGTTCTTTTATACGAAAGACGTTTGGTCACAGATTGTTCAGTTTGGCATCAAAGGTACATGTACATGCATGAGAAATACAATTTGTGACCTATAATTGCTGTGTGTACTGTAACAAAATTATCTTGTTAATAGATTTAACTGATAAGCATATACTGAAACCAATAAAAGAGGTATTTTTACACACACACACACATAATAGTAATAACACTTGTTATGGTCTATACAAACACATAGTGGGCTACTACAAATATTATTATTAGTGTTAATGCATTATCTTGATTTGTGTCAGAAGAACAACATCAAAATTTTATTGGAATTATTTTAAATATCTGTTGTGTGTTAGGGTGATGTGTCTTGCTTGTTGCAAGACTCAAAAGCTTTAGGTGTCTCTTTGCTTCGCTTCTTGCCAAAAACTGAGAGTCTCCGGCCAATAATAAACATGAAGACCGTCCCCAAAGGATTGGAAGGAGTGATAAGAGATGAGAAGCCTCAGTCAACCAATGCCAAGCTAGTCAATATCTTAGCTGTACTAAAGTATGAGGTCAGCCATTTCCTTTATTACTTTCATGAACTAGTTGCACTCACAGAGTTTGAATAAACTTGGCTGCTCGATGCTTGGATTTAACGAGTTTTATAAAAGATGGAAGGATTTCCTTGAGAGAAAGTCTGTCAGCTTGGATGAGTCAAATAAGTAATTTAATACCATTTTACTACAAGTTTTCATCTTCCTCTCCTTTCGCCCTATTACAATGAAGGTCTTGGTATATGATAAGTGTTGATGTGTTGAATTGCTTTAATACGGTTTTATCCGATCGTCTAATGATGCTACTTGATAGAATACTGACAAAAGTGAATAGCACATTGGGGTTCATTCTAATCACCATGTAATAGGACTGTTACTACATTAGGGGATGTCATGTTATCAAAGTGAATAACGGGAGTATAAAGATGTATTTTAAAAGATGTGTCACTGAAGGTTAGCAACCTTTCATTTTTGCATATCAGAGATGGGTCAATGCACTTTTACAGTGCAAGAAATATGATACCATTGAGTCACTCTATGTATGGTGTGGTGTGTATTAAAATTAGCCTCAATCCTGTTCCTTGGTATAATTTATTTATGACAGCTGTTATTAATTCTAGAAGTTGTATACTCTTGTACCATTTTATTTATTTTTAACAGCTGCAATGGTTCCATTTGTTGAGATAGCTGACAGAGTTTCATCTTCTCATCATAATGTAGTACTATCTGATGCAGTGAGTCATCCTTACTTAGTATCCATAATCTATCATATTGATCATTTATTAGATGTCGGTGAAATTGATATCAAAAGAAATGATACTGTATACATTGGAATGTCACCTCAAGAATAATATTGTTAAGGTATGGCGAGTGAGTTTCAATTGGGAGGCAGTCATTAATATGTAATAATAGTAATTGAAACCAAAGAAATACATTTGGTATTATAATTTTATAGTGTATTATCAAATTTTTGATCAAAATTAGATTTTTTATAAATTTTGAAGTTGCTCCAAAATCTGGCCAATTTGGCTCCGAGAGAATTTTCCTTTTTTTAATAATTTTTTTCTGATGCATAATGTTCTTATGTTCTGTATCAACTTTGCTAATCAAAATTGGATTCTATTATAGGTAAACGGGCAGTATTTTGTACAGGTGCAGGGGATACCCCAAGGATCAATATTATCCACTCTGCTCTGTTGGTCAGTGAAGTACATTCACTCCAAACATTATAACCCTCCTTTATATTTACAGTATCTACTATGCTGATATGGAGGCTAGATGTATTGGCTCTTATATAAGAACTGAAGGAGTAAGTGGACCAATGGATCATGTTGCCTAACTTGCCTTACATCTTTTTAAAATTTATGCTGTAGTTCTTTGTAAGATTAGTTGATGACTTTTTGTATGTGACCGACAAAGCTGATTGTGTTAAAAGTTTTGATGCATTATTGAGCGGGGGAATCAGTCAGTATAACTGCTACATTAATAAGAATAAAACCAAGAGGAATTACTCCATTACTGATAATGGGAAAGTAACAAAGTGTGTTGATGGTAAGGAAAGTAGAAATGGACTCTGCTTTAGCTTTAAGTATCATTCACAGTGGAATGGTTTAATTGGTGTGGACTGTTAATTAATACTACAAATCTTCAAATCTTAGTTGACAATAGCAGATACAAGAGTATGTTATGCTGCAAATATCCCATAGTCTTTGTCACTTATAATTATTCCCTTGTTTCTAGACATAAGAGATTGTTTGACCATTAGTAATTCTAGCATCGTTCCTGCACACTCACTCTCAATTCAACTCATACAGTAATAATAATGATAATAATTAGTGCTTTGATTCACTTTTCTCCTTTTATTATCATAGAGCACTCTCGTTGAAGTGTGTCCCGCATTTACTGGACTCACAAGTAACTAATGCACTCTCTGATAGTGTTAGTATGCGTGTAGTGGTACAAGCTCTAGCATTCAGCTCTTGTGTTTGATTGTGTTTCTATTAAAGTGGCTCAAGCAGCTGTATTGTTAACACAGTTTATACAAGTACAGGAATGTTAACCACATTTCTGTCCAACCCACGATAGGCTTTTACAATTCCTTGAGTATAAAATCAGCAGTCTCTTTGTCCATATTGACACGCATCTTTTAGGTTCTGCTTGATCCAGAGCTGAAAATTTTTGGAAGGGTCCATAATATGGACCCTGCACTACAATAGTTTCTATTTATTTATGATATTGTGTAGTTTTTATCTAATGGTATGGTGCTATGCAACTTGTACTTAAACTTCACACTCTCTGCTATTAAGTTTCACTGCTATATCAAGTACTGCATTAAAGCTCATGGCTTGCAGTCCAATAGCAGAGCTACTGCATCAGAAATAATGAGTGAGTCCTGTACTATCGTATAGAAGGAAATTTTGGAGGGAGTTAAATTTGGCAAATTGCTAAATTTTGGTGATTGGCTAATTTTGATTTGGCGAATTTGTAGCCATGTGCCATTGAGCATGTGCAAAATGGCTCTAAATGGCAAATTTTTATTTTGGCGAATGGCTTTAAAAACACCAAATTCGCCAAATTTTAACTACCTCCAAAATGTCATTCTATACGGTATCTTGAGTCTTTTACTAATAACAATTATATTATGCAGGGATGTTGATGAGCACCACAAGGCAGTTTGATCATCGAGCCAAGTCTGTATGCAAAGTAATACTTGCATTCATACTTATATTGCTGTTGGTTTACTTCATTCTTTTTAGAGAGCAATAGGAGTATACAGTGTACCTCTGATTGTTTGCAACTGGTAAATATGTCCAATAGACCACTATTGTTATTGGTTAGGATTAGGTTATCACTTCAGTCCTTTTATACAGTTTTTAAGCGTAAGAAATCCCTCTATGGGCGGCTGTTATTCTTAATGAAGAATGTATTACAAAGGATACATGAGTCAATGGTGAGAGAAAAGGTTACTATTGTAGTATGGTTGAATTTCTGATGTATTAGGATGAGAATATTATCAACTTGCTGTTGGAGATAGTTGATAGATGCAGCAATGATCCAGTGTTTAGCATTACCTATTAAAACTGATTAATATTCATTGAACCGCAATAATAACATTCACGGTTGTAACACGTGCTAGCTCGATCATTCCGCTAATGGTTTCCTAATGAACAGGGACACCCCACATCACATGACTGTTGACTGACTGATGATTATTATAATGGTGCGCTGAAGTATCGAGAGTTTGTATCCCACACGAGTAGCGGTTTGGACTAGACTGAGAAGAAAGCGAGGGATAAAGAGCCACCAGATAATGGACATGTTTGCAAGAATATTCAACAACGTCTTGCCAGCTAAAAAGCAACCCGTTCCCAAGGAGACGGCGTGAGTCTTTCATTTACTACTGAAGTAGACCACACTGGCTCTGTAAACTGTGTAGACAATGTGTTAGTGTTTTCTTGTGTGGTGGTGGAGAGAATAAATAAAACCCAGAAATTTCTCCTTTTTTTGCAATGCACATGATTCCTGGTGCTATAGGCTATAATCACAACTAAAAGGAGAGTTAATTCCTTGCCTTATGAGCTTCCTCTCACCTCCACACCTACTATTAAGTACACTGCATATCCTCTATTAATCATATTAAACAGAGCTGTCTTCAGGGTATAATATCATGCAAGTCATGTTACTGACAGCATTTTATTCATTGTATGCAATATTGTATTGTATTGTATGTTACAGCTCTTAATGCAAGAGCAACAACAACTTTGCAAATCTTTCATACGATTATTGTACATAATATCCTCCCTCTCTCTCTCCTTTTTGTTATAACTGGTCATGTGGTTATTATGCAGGATTATATTATATTGCTAGTCACATTACTAGTTTCATTATTATTATTATTATCATTATTAATAAAGTATGGACAGTGCTCACATCATTATCTTGTTCACTTATTGTCAGTCCATCACATGCTTTGTAATGCTACACTTGTACTTGTCTCCTCTTTCGATCTCTCTCTCTCTCTCTCTCTCTCTCTCTCCAGTGCATGCTAAGCATGCTTCAATCACATGATATATGATCCTCTCACCCAGTCCTGTTATAATATTTGTATACCTTTCCTCACATGACTGTGTTCTTCTTGTATCTTATACATCATTTTATTTATGAGCTTTGTTATAGTCTGTTTTAGTTCTATCCAATACTAATTGATCATGCATGCACCCATTGTATGTACATTGTATAGTAATGAGGGACTTCCCTCAGAGGGTTATAAGAAGCGGAGGAGTGCCAGAAGATGATTATATAAAAGGAGCTTTATCTATGAGGAGATTGTTCTCTTTCACTTTCCCCTCAAGCAAGAGTTTACTGTGTAACTCTAACCGTGGGCATGTGATGGAGTCAGTGGCATGACTCCCTTTAGTAATAATATTGACATATTTCTCTAGTATCTTAGATACATGTCCATACGCACTATTTGTTATTATTATAGTAGGTACTACTGTATTTTGTTGAACAGTATACTGTTGTATGTAATATGTGATATGGATAAACTTATTGTTAGGGTATTATGCACCCTCTTAGCAAAAGATCATAGGTTACTCAGGTGACCTCCTATGAATATTCTTACCTTTATTAAACAAACCATGATTAGCATTAATGGTGCTGCTGGTGTTCATCACATGATATTCCTGCTATTAGAATGTGCTGTTGTGCTAATGACACTCCTCTCATTTTGATGGTCTTACATGTATGCTGTTACATAGGATGCTCTGTTCATGTAATGTACCTGTAAAATTATAGAGTCATTTATAGTGAAATTTACAGTATGTATTATATATTATATTAGTGACATCTAACTTACTTTTCCTTTCTTTTAATTTCTCTCTTCTCCTCTCTCTTCTTGTTAGTACTTTAGAGAGAAAGTCCAAGAGGTTGATAGCTCAAGACGGCTGGTCTCCACCTCCATTTGACTCGTCCTGTGTCAGGCTTGTCTTGTATCAGGATCACGAGGGACGAGGAAAGAAGCAAATATTTGACACGAAAGCTCACCAAGCATCAACGAGCAGCAACCAGGATATATCTGAAAGCAACGTAAGGGAATGTACATGTACATGTACATTATTGACAGAGTATTTACTATCACTGTACTATTGATTGCTGCCATACAAATATGTACTACATTTATATGATGGTAGAAAAGGATATTATTTTATTAATTTGATTGAGTTTATACTTTAGTACAGGCTTTATGTACTCACATGACTGGTTGTGTGTATACTAGTTGTTTGCTTTGGAGGAGCACTGTATACTCATGATTGTGTACAGGTCCGTCTATGCATTCCCAATGTTTGATATTGTTTAGTCATCTATAAGCCATTTAGACATCAAAAGATGGTGATTTAAGTAGCATGTGATAGACATGTGTTCATAATGACTTCATCCTTTCTCTTACCTCCTCCTCCCCTCTCTCTCTCTCTTTCCTTCTCTCTCTCTTCCCCCCCCCCTCTTTTCCCCCCCTCTCTCTTTCTTTAGGTTCACTTATCAATCAATTCCTCTTTAACTAGAAGTTATCGTAATGATGATTGTACACACGAGATGTGTAACAGTCTAACCTCAAGTATCACAAGTAGCCTTGGGAACAGTTACAGGTCAAAGTCTAATCTTACAAGACGTCCAGTGAGTTGGTCCTAATGATGTACACATTAAAGTCTCTCTTACTCTTTCTACTCAGAGCTCTGATTCAGAGCTCCTAGGTGAAATGATGTTTGGTTCAATGCCAATGAAGTTAATGGGGAATTCAGTTAAGATACATTACATAAGGTAATAGTAGCATGTATTGTACACGTGTACTCTATACAGGTGTGCCTATATACATGTGTATGCACATGCATACATCTGTAGGTTTATGCTTGAGTAATCATCATTCACAAACAAAATTTTAAAAACGATGATAATAATAATAATAAGGGACTGTAAAGCAAACTTTTTTTAAAATGTACAAATGTACAAGTTATTATTGTACATGTACAGTACACTGCATTTACATGAATGTAGTTTAATTATTTTAGACTGTCAATATTATTATATTAATTATCGTTTCCTCCTCAGGTCAGAGGAGCAGCTCATGGTAACCAAGGTGTTCTTTGCTCAGAAGAGGATGCTCTCCAGTTGCAGTTTGAACGATTTCTCTGAGAGCTGTCCTCTACCTGGTGACCCAGGACTGATACCAAAGCAGCAGACGCCATCAACTCAACAGAATAACTTCCACTGCTCACTAAGACCACCTTCATCTTCACCTGGTAAGAGACAATCTAGATACATGCACATGACATATACTTGTACGTGTACATATACATACATGTAGATGTACGTGTATACATTGTACATGTACATGTACTTAAGTATTTGTTTTTACTACATGTACATGTATATATGAAAATTTACATTTTATTCATGTTCATGTACATTTTACATTAACAATGTACTCTGTATTGTGACCTTTTAATTCTCAATCCTATGATTTAGATTCCAGACAAGGCTTAAGTCAGTCCTATTTCTCTCCTGGTCACTCACCAACTGCTTCACTTCCTACAGGCAGCACCTCCCTGGCTAACAGTGGGAACTTTGACTATTCTCCAACTCACTCTGTAAGTATAAGATATCCTCTGTATGTGTACCAATGATATCCTCTCTATATCTACTGATATTGGATGGAGTCTGCCTTGTTTTGTCTTTGAATGAGTTGTTAATTGTTCCATTGATAGACTCTATACAGTACATCCCTGCCAATAATCTTATGCCACATAGTGATAATTTGTTGGAATCTAATCACCTCTCTCTCTCTCTCTCCCCTCTACTGTAGCTCAGTATTGGTGTCCCTAGTAGTCTTACCTCAAGTTTGACTAGACGCATACAAAGAGTGAGATCAACTAGTTTAGAGAATGGATCAGAGCTGTACTATAGGATACTTAAACCAATGGACCAGGTACAAACACACCCTTAATCTCTTAATACTGTAACACCGCCTGTTTGCACTGTTGTATACATGCATGCCTTGAAATTTTGCTTACATGCACATTTCATTATTAATTTTGTTTAATTTTAGTCAACCGGAAGTCGAAGAGGAAGAAAGTATGCCATTGGTGTTGTGTTTTCACTTCATAACATGAAGCCAGCTGAAAGAGAGTACGTCTACCAACTACCAAGAGAGAGAGAGGGAGGGAGAATTAGTGTGACTCATCAATGCCTGATCTGTGAATGAGTGATAGATATTTTGACATAAATACATGTACATGTACATGTTACATGTATCTCTATTTTTTTAATAGACAATTCCAGGAGTTCTTTTTCTCTCATTTCAATCTCATCAGTTCAAGCCTTGAGCAGTTGAGGGAGAGGGTAGAGGAGACACTCTGGGGAAGGAGACAAGCACTGGCTGAGATTGTAATGAAAGCATACGAGAGCTTTGTGGACAGTTTTAAATCACTTTACTGTGCTCAGAGAATCAAAGTAAATCATACAAAAATATTATGTACAATCTAAATGTATGCATAAAATTTATGCTTGTAACATGCAAGGATGTACATGTACATGTATATAGGTGCTGGTTCTTTTATTTATTAATTTTCATTTATAGGCTCCAGTTTGGCTAGAGATAGTTGGTGGTGCTAGCAACAAACGTGAGATTTGCTGTCGTTTTCTCTCAACGCTGAAATCACTTACGATACAACTTGAAACAAAAGAGTCAAAATAGTAAGAAATTAAGAGCAAATACATGTACATGTACAGGTATGATTATTAATATTATTATTTATTTCGTACTGTGAAGTCTACAAATTCATGTCAGGGGACACAACATGCTCATGAATAGCATTACAGATTCATTGCATTGTTTTTATATTTTTTAAGTACCACACACATACATGTACATGTACATGTACATGTACGCCCATTATTGTTTAATTCATTATTGGTATTGTTCCTATGTACATGTAGTTTCCTATCCTCGCTCCTCACTGCTGTATTGAGCTATCATTTAGCATGGGTATATACTGTTAGTAAGAGTAGCTCAATGGCCACTTCAAGGCATCATGACAAAATGGCTTCAAAATCGGTGAGTTTTCAAAATGCTTGTACATGTACATGTAAGTCAATTTTTTGTTATTTTATTTTACAGCTGGCAGTTCTTGCCGAAACACACCCATACAATCCTCTGTGGGCTCAATTTGGGTAAGTTTGAGACATTATTATTACTATTACTGGGAAATGTTAAAAATAATAAAAATAACACATGTACATGTACATTAATGCTACTATTATATTACTGTATACGTGTACATGTACATGTATAGTACATGTGCACGAATTATATTACCATTGTAAAAAAATTGGATTAGTAGTTACACATGGTCATGTACATGTACATGACCATGTACAGCTGTACATGCATACACATCAGAAAAATTATAAAAATTAAGATTTCTGTTGGAGTGATTTCCCTGTTTTATAGCCCATGGTCATTGGCCCAATTTTTGAGCAATTTTAAGAATTTATTTAAAAATCCAATTTTGTTCGAAATCAGCTTAAAATTTCTACACAATATAAGTACATGTACATTAGGAAAAATTATGAAAGTGGAGAATTCTCTTCTTCCTATTTTTGACAAAATTTGACCAAAAACCCTGTACTACATGTACAGGGACTTTGGCCCGATTTGAAAGCAACTTTTAAAAATCCAATTTTGTTTGGAATCTCCATCTACAGTGTATATTCATTTTTTACTTTTTAGTGATTTATGTGGTGCAGTCTCTGATCCTCTTACAATATCCCGTACAGTGGTCGTTGGTAAATCAGCCTCGCTGGTCTGCCGGCTACTCTACCTTCTCTCCTACTTCATACGTTGCTCTGAGATTGAGGAGCAAGGACTCTTCAAGAGCTTCATGGAGTCTCAGTTCAATTTCGACGAGTTAGAAGAGAGTGACATCTTTCCCGACTCCCGCGACGGCTCGTCTCTGACCCTCCTCAGTGAGAGTGGGAGGAGTTCAGTTCCTACCATGTCTAGCAGTTTGGAGAGGGTGGAGAAAGCCCCGCTGGTGAAGCCACACCCTTTTAGTATTGGAGGGCGTGGGAACAGCATCTCTCGGGCGTCCAGTTACGGGAGTTCCTTGAACCAGAGCTCAATGACTCTCTCTTGTGGTAGTCTGGACGGACTGACATCTTGCACTACGACTCCTCTACAGGTACCCAAGCCAATACTGAGACACGTCACTGATAGCAATAGCGTCTGTCAGTCGGTCCCTGCTGGAATGCTCAGTAATTCTAGCTACATGGGGAGACAGCACTCCGCCAAAGAGAAGAGTAGTCTGACCCCATTCACATGTGTACCAACTCACTCGACATACAGCACTGGGGTTGTGACTAACTTGCAAAGAAGAGGAGGAGAGAGCAGTATGACTTCTCCTCTACTGAATGGGTATAAGATCAACACTAGTGGAGGGAAGGGAGGAGGGTGTGAGTGTGCCGATTGCTCCTCTGGTCAGTCCAGCCTATACAGTGTATGTCCTGTTGATACTAATAGGATACTGTGGAGGCCCAGACGAGGGAGCAGGGGGGCAGAGAGAAGACTGGGTGCTTCCTCTCCTTTACTCAACAATGACTGGAGGACTAGGAGCTATGACGGGCACAATAAAGTAAACTCTAGCCTGAGGAGTTTCCCCGAGAAAGAGTCTCCGGGAAGCAAGCTATTGAGTGAGTCCAGTACAGACTCGCTCTCCACAGGTTATCACACCACTAACATCTCACGTAATCCCTCAGGTACTTCCATTGGCCTCAGCCAACAGCCCCCGGCTCAGTCCAGACTATCGAAGAGACAGGGGACCTGCAGTAGCTTTGACTCTGGTGTGTTTGAGCACACATCAATACTTACAACCGACAGTGAGAGACTCACTGATTTTGATAGTCTACAGATGAGCAATGGGTCTAGTTTCAGGGCAGGTAGTAGGACAGAGTCTTCTTACCCTCAGCAATCATCCAGCATGTCACTAGCTGCTACAGGAGCTTATCCTGGCAATGACTCCATCCCAAGCACTGGTAGATACTGTCCTGGTGCATTCTCATTTACTCCTAGTCATTACCAGCCTGCCGGTAGTAATGAATTAGGTTTATCCTCTCCATTGGCTGGCACAGAAGACCAAGAGACCCCAGTGAACCAGTCAAGTTTACTGAGGGTTGATGATGCTCATGTGTTCAGTCAGTCTTATGACAGCCAGCAGAGGAAGAAGCCCTCAATAATGCTGCCCAGTAGTGGGACAACAACTGATGCTTCATCTCAACTCACCTCCAATCCTTCCTCTCTGCCTCAGGGACAGCCTTTCTCTTCTGGTGGTTTAAAGTGTGCTAGTTCTCCTGCTCTTAGTTCAATGGCTGGTCCTCCTCCAGTTATAATACAATCCTCTGATGACAATCCTGGCTCCAGTATCCCCAGGAACAACAGTTATAAAGGACTCCCTCTTATTGACTGTCCTGAGCTACAGGATCAACTCTCGCCGTCATCAAATCATTTAAATGTAAGTTAGATGCCAGTACATGTGCACATGTAATGGTGTAACTGAAAATTAAATATTGAATTAAGTATTATGGCTACAGTTTTTAAAATCAAAATTGGCTCTTACTATTATTAGTATTATTATTTGCTATAATGAATTTAAGGAACTGTGAAAATAACTTTTGATATAAGTGTACATGTACAATAAGTAATTTATTGTACAATGTACAATGTATGTACTTGTATTTCTATAGGTTGCAGAGATTAATGTTGAAGAAAGTCTCTCCGCCCGTAGTCTGTCATATCTATCAATGTCTTCATTTGGTAATGGAGCAGCTAATGGTCTCCTTTCAGCTAATAATGATAGACTGGAAAAACAGTTTAAGGACTTCTCTGAGATCGACATTCAAAAGTAAGCATAGTTAGCATACACCAAATCCAACGCTTTGTATCAAATCTTACTATTTGATTTATAGTCTTGATGAAGACATTGGTTCCGAACTACCTTTGCTCTCTCCTCCCCCCACCCTCCCTTCGTCCCACCCTGCTTCAGCTAGCTCAACCCCACGCATGACCTATCTCTCTAAGACTCCTCCTACCTCAAGCATACACTCCTCCTCTTCACTAGGAGGAGTGAGTGCTCTTGGAAGAGGAGGAGTATTAGGAGGAGGAGGGGGTGAGCTCTCTGATTTCGGTCACTCTCTGATGGCTGGTCACAGTGAACGGTATATGCCTCATTTTGTGTTACACGGTACTAGTCAGCCTTTTGATGAGTTTAAGGATCAATTGGTCAGTGATCTGTCGGCAATGATAAAAGTAAGCCCATACACATTGTATAGTACTGCATGTTATATACATGTACATGTACATGTATATACACTTGGGGTTTATGAGCTGGGTTCAGTGGGACCTCTATAGTGTATCAGTACATAAGATTACATGTACATGTACATGTATACTCGCCTGTTTGCTAATTCATTTATTTGTTTTATTATTGTTTTTCTATTGTGTAGTATTCTATTGTTGATGAGCCAGTACAGCATGGAGTGGCTATAGTGGCTGATACTGATACACTCACCTGTAAGATAGTGGCTGTATCGAAAAGCCAAAGAACAAAGTAATTCCTACATTAATCATGTCATTATTATAATAATTATTATTCTTAGCAATTAATGCATTATTTTTTTACATTATTCTTTTTCATTATTTTACTGCCTTTTATTGTATTATTTTAGCGATGGTGAAGTATTGATTGGAACTGCACGTCCGTCATATTCCGTACAACAACTAATTCACTCTGTGTCTACACTATGGGACATGCAACTCCCTCCTGAATTTGTAAGTACATGTACATGTACATACTTGTATTAATAAATTATTATAGTTATTTATCTGTACATGCAAATACTAATTATAACCTGTTTATTTATTACAGTCTTATTATGAGAGTGATGAAATAAAACAAAAACAAATAGAGCAAAAACTGTTATTTATTATTACTATAATTTATTTATTATTCTAGTGCCTGTCTAGTATGGAGGATGGATTAATGGCTTTAAATGAGCAGGGACAAATGATGTCTGCTGGTCTACTGGAGGAAGGACGAATTAGTGACTTATCTACATCTTTGAAGAAGCTCCATAGCTCCCTCAAGTAAGAAAGTGCAGCATGAGCAACTGAGCATGTACTACTAATAATACATTTACCTTCCACTCTCTCTCTCTTTCTTTATAGTACTGATATTAGTGATCATTCATTGCTTCAAGCACTGGCTGGTGTTCATGTTAGCAGCTCTGATCCAACCATATCAAAGGAGCTCCAGTTTCATTGCCTTCATTCTCTTATTAAATAAAAGAAAACATAGTCTAGGAATTAAGCACACATTGTGCATGCAGTCAAGAGAAGATGTATATTCTAACTGAATGATGCATGCACACACTTCACTTCACTCCTGCTTTTTAATTTATATTCACGTTCATTCATTCATCCTCAGTTTAGGGTCTCTATCTCAGTCCTGTTATTATTATTATTATTATTATTTAATTATTATTATTATTTTTGTTCTCTTTTTGATGTTTTTTAAATTTTATTATAACATTAAGAGTTAAGTGTAGGGTTGGTATTACGTAACGACACGCCCTTGTTATGTAACGAATTTCCCTGCACTTGTTAAATTACGGGATTTTACAGGGCTTGACATTAATGACAGGTCAAGAGGTTGAAATCAGTGAAAAGATGCCCAAAGCACTTGAAGCTGTTTTTGCAGGAGAGAAATCTTTGAGTAGCTACGTCGAGGAAGAATGCAAGAAACACAGTATAGACCACGAGGCAGTGTCTAAAGAAATGGAAGAAATGAAAATGAATCCGGAGCCTGAAGTTGATTTTCATGAAGAGCTCAAGTTTTCTGTCAAAGTTAGCAATACATAGCACTAGACTATATTTATAATACTAGAAATCAATAAATTATAATAATATAGCCTGTTTAACTAATAATAATTACTGATCTGTTTTATTTTTATTTTTTTACTACTAAAAGCCATCGCTTGCAACATCAAAGAAAGCCTACCAGGTGCTACTGGGTGGACTGGCTCATGATGATTTCAACGAATATTGCAGCATTGGACTCGTCCCGTACCAGGGAGAGAAGCATCACAGCACTACAGCTAATCCTCTTCACTTCTTTGACTACAATGCATTGATTGATGACTGGATGATGTCTACAGACCCACAGGAACAAGTCAAGCCTGATGAAGAGGACAAATAAAACAAACCAGTTCATTCGTAATACTCATTTCATTAGTTATGCAAAACATCATGTGTATCCTAATATTTCCAATCATGGAATGTTTTAATTGTCATGAGTAATCTTCATAGACACTATAGCACAACATGCCTCATGCATGCTAGCTAGACTACCATGCCAGCGCATGCTCAATCCTTGCAGGCTCAACATAAACTGCACATGGTGCATGACTCTATTGATATCATTGTTTTTACTTGCATGGACACTAACATATTAGCCAGTGGAGTAGTCAAGCGCTAAATAATGCAATATGTGACACTCCCCTCTACCCTCACCATGCACACGTATTATTGATCATTCCATGTGTGTGACTGACACTGGATCTATTATAATCCTTGTCATAATTAAGTTGTCATTTGTACATACAAAGACGGGAATTAGAATTCCGTAGTAATTTGCTTGAGTATGTGTGTAAACCAGTTTATTCAAGACATTAATCATTATAAGTATTATGAATAACTAATCTAGTCTTTAATATTGATTATATTGTCAATGAGTAGATCAAATCCTGGTCCATATGTTGTACTTAAAGTTATCTTTTTAATGAAATCCTCTATAGGAGAAGAAAACAAAAACTTGAGTTGTGAATCTGTGGATGTTCATGATGCAGTATACCGTATAGCCGCTTAATTTCGAGGGTATAATTTTTGCTAATTTTCCATATTTGAAAAAAAGTTAATTCTGTAAAATTATCGTCTCAACCTATAATGACATGTAGATATTGGCTCTCTTGGGTGTGGCTTTATGGAAGCTACAAAAGCATAGATATTAGAGTAAATAAAAGGGATTGGAAACAGAAGCGTGGGCGTAGGCAATTTGTATTGTTGCTAAACAAACAGAGGCGGGTTGGGATTTTTTAAATAGATTTTGGAGCAAAAATCACAGATTTTATTGCTTTATTTTTGAATAACTCCAAGAGGATGCCATTTATGGAAACAAAACTCACACACAATACTAACCAGTGTTCATGCTTTTTATCAATATTTTTTTGTTAAGTAAATCAATGCATGCGTTAGTAACTGTGTCACTTTCACTAAAAATACCACCTTTTCTTCCTGCCAAAAGACTCATGTTGATCTTGAGCTATGAATAAATATAAACATCAAAGAGCTTGAAATCTCCTATGGAATGACCCAACTCGCTCATTGATACTATAACACTCGAGTGTTTTATAAACAATTAAGTGTTTCAAAAACAGGCAACTTTGTGTACCTATAACTGGTTGCAAAATGACTTTACAGAGACAAACACCTTGCTGCAGGTAGCTCTAAACATTCTATGTGGAGTAGGCTATGCTATCCTGGAGCAACACAAATTTCTTTCGAAATCCATCCAGAGCAGCTTCACCAATGGAGGAGGAGATGGGAATACAGTCAAAACACTAATGGCTGTCATGTGGTAACCGAACCCACATTTCCTGTTGCTACACCCCGTTTCTAATCCCTTTCATTTACTCTAATATCTATGACGAAAGTTAATTTGTGAAAAAAAGACTTGTGGCCTGATTTGCAAAAGTTTATTGCCTCAAAACTTAGTGGCTATACGGTATGACTTATCATAATGCAATTATATGCTGAATATGCAGTGTATTTGCATGCATGCAGTATGATATATTAATAGTGTGCCCATTACTTTTTTTAACTTTTTCTCTCTGACTTAGAACCAAATTCATCAACGCATCAAGATTTTCTCTAATTTTAACATTGGGAAAATTTATCTGCATAACAAACATAATAATTAGTTAAGGCAATGACAATATTCTATTTGTTTGCTGAGGCTCACCTCACCAATACCTATGTTGAGTATGCCATCAATGCTCCGATATGCTTTAGTGTGTGCAAATTGTTCCATGGCTTTAGGTATATCTTCAACTACAGTCCCTACAGAATACAGAACACTAACTAGTAGCATGAGTTCAATAATTCATGCTTGTTTTAGAGCATTTTAAATTCACAGACTAATTTCAATATTTATTACATCTATAACACTATGCAGTAAATTTGAGCTATATAATTCTACACTTGAAATCATGAACACTTAAATCATATTTCACTGTTACATAGACCAATGGCTCACGATGTCCTTATGCACCCCATAGAAAGTGAGTAAAGTAAAACCACATAATAATGACACCTAAATCACATGTCAGCTGTTGTGGTTTTGGTGTTTTGTAACTTATGCTGAGTTAGCCCACACATGACCTCTCTCACTGCACAGTCAGCAGCTATGCTATCATTACCACAAACATGCATTGATAGTTCACATAACTTATAACTATTTTTGGTAAGTGCTTTTACAAGGTAGCTTTTAAGAATTTGCTTTTAAGTGTAAAGTATAGCCATTATACCTCTTCTCTCAGAGGGCATCTTTGTTTTGAGTATTCTCGCTATCTTCTTTACTTCTTCCAGCATAGAAGGAGTCGAGAGGATAACATGGCAATCAGGGACGACATCTGTTGTTTCTATTTCCTTTATTAATTCGAGTCCACCAATTACACTGGCGCCAGCTTCTTTAGCTGAAGTTGCTGCAGAATCCTAACAAATAAGAATAATGACAACAAAAACATGAACAAGTTATAATGAATAAGAATTATAGTGAATAAAACAAGCAAGCATTAAAGAGTTTAGAGGTCAAAAGTCATTAAATGTTGTAGCATACTTAAGGCCTTTTCACACTGGCACAAGTAATGCGCATTGATATGCATTAATCGTGTTCACACTAGAGTGGTTTTTAATTAATGTGCATCACTCTCACTTCACCTGGAGAGCTAGAGGTGGATTGATGTGAAGTGATGCGCTTAGATCAATGTAAACCAATGGCAACAGGAACACAAAATGATATATAATTCAGCTGCTAGTGTGAACACGATCAATGCGCATTATTTCAGCTGTATCAACAAAGCGCTTTGAAAACTGTGCCAGTGTGAAAAGGCCTTTAATCAGCACGATCTACAATGCAAGCTTAATATTACAGTTTACTTCAGCATTGATCTGATCTGCATAGTCATCATAATAATAATGACTCATCACATACTATTCATTGAATACAGCTCAATTACAATTACTGAATTACACAATGCACATACCTCAGCAAAAACTAAAATTTTTGATTTTCCGCCAAAGTAGTGTGGGAATACTATAGTGCCTCTGATCTGATTTTGACCCTGAAAAGAGGAAGAAAAGTATATTTATCATAATTATGATGCTACACCAGCATCAAGTCAATTTTTTGATCAATAGTTGACCTTTTGACGCATGCAAATCACTAAATTCTATTCCAAAATCAACATAATCAGGCTTAGCACTATATGACAAAGCCAGAAATTATATTCAAAAATGCTCAGACATTGTATCTGAACATTGATTAATTTAATCTGCCATTTTTATGAAACAGTCGGACAGGGTTTGCTATAGGATTTTGGCATAGTACCCATGCAGCTTCTTGTCAGTGGATTGTCAAGTTGCTCATAAATTAGGCCTAAGACCCTTACAGGAGACAAAAATCACAAGGAGAAAATTTTTTATTTTTATAATTTTTTCTAATACATATATACAAATGTTTTTATGTATCAACTTTGAGCTGATTCCTATCAAGTTTAACTTCTTATGAATTTACAATATTCTCAAACTGTCATGTACTGTATTGCAGTGCTTGTCAGTTTATGAAGCTCATGTAACTCATAATTTTAAAAATTAAGTTGTTTAGACAAAATAATACAACATAAAATTCAGTCAGACACTAGTCGGAAAATGTCCAACTCTTATTTCAGGCTCTGATAATAATTATACTAATTCACAATAATAATTATTTTAAATTCATGTATAATCTATAATGGCTTAATTAATTAACATAATTATAGCTCCGCCTACTGGTACCAACACGTGAAATCTGCATTCTTCTCACTTTCAAGTTGAATTTAAGACTGATCTCCACCGTCTCTGGTCTAAATAAAGAATAAGCTCTGAGAGCTCTGAGTCCTTCCTCCAAAGACACGAAGGGCTCCTTGTAGTGATTAAGTAAGTAAACTCGCGGCTGGCGTCTGTGGGAAGGAGACGGGTTTGGGTCTCTCTGGGTAACCTTTACTGTAGATGCAAATTTTAAGAAAGAGCAAGAATTAATAATATAGGAGGACAGCCATGTGCCTCGTGTCCTTCCTCTTGTCCGAAGAAGCAGCATTACCATTCACGTGGGTATAGTTTATAGTTACTCAGTGGGATAATGGAATGCGCAAAAATGACAGATGAGCATAAGGGGCTGTCCCAGGGAGAGCCCCGGCCCGCTCCTTTTGTGCTTTCACTATAATTGAGGTATACCTTATCAAAACATACTATCTTTGACAGATGGTGGTCTGATTATTTAAAGCTCAAGGTCGACAGGGCCCACTGCTGCTTTTTTGAGTCTCTCCAATCATCAGGCCCAGCCAGTGGTAAGTCTGGTAACATTATGAACTCTTGCTGCTGTATCTTATATATATCTAGAATAATAATATTAGACTGTGCTACAAACAATGACTAAGCATAATTTAAGTTATGCCACATGACACAATTAATGCTGCAATGTTATCATATTTTTGCAATATGTAGACTCTGTGATCATTTATAGGTGCACTCTGAACTGGTCAACAACATCAGATGAGTAACTCTCCTGCTGCTACAAGAAGTGGTGAAGAACCACTAGCTCCAATGGAATCTAACATAGATGAAGAAGCATTCGCTTACAGTACTGCACCAATGACAGTAGGGACGCTCTCAGCAACACCTGACCGTCGTAAGAACAGAGCTTCACCACAAGTGGTGGATTCGGACAGTCCTCAGTCAGCAAGTAAAGATCTATCACCACCGCCATCTTCTTTACCATCTACTGACCCAAAGGCCCTGGAGGACAACCCGAGCGGACCTAAAACCACTCCAGCTGGGGGACATACATTGATGATGGAAGAGAACTCACATTTAGCATCACACCAGCAGCATCATTTGCATCCTGCATCACGCACAATACATCACAGCTCCAATAATTTTTTTGCTAATTTACAGGCTGAGAGCTTCCCTGCTAGTAGTACTAACATTGGTTCGGTGTCACAGGTACATGTACAGGACCAGCAATCGCCACTTCACAAACCTACAGAGAACTTATCTTCGCAATTCAGTAAACCACAGCTTGTTTCTACTTCTCCTATAACTCGTAGAGTTGCTACTGATTCTCCGTCTCTCTCTCCTCCTCCTCCTCCTCAGCCTCATCAGACTCATCTACAGCCTCCAGCTATTCACTCCAGGAGCAGTTCTAGTAATAATTTCTTTGAGCGGCAGAGATCATCAGGAGATGATACTGGTAAGTGAACCTTCATATATTTTCTATTTCATTTTATTGAATTTCATTTCTTTTGTTTTTTGTTTGGTACATTCGAACGCGTACGAAAATTGGTTTCTTTGTGATGCTAATCAACTGAAATTGGTTTCTTTGTGATGCTAATCAACTGAAATTGGTTTCTTTGTGATGCTAATTAACTGAAACTGATTTCTTTGTGATGCTAATTATCTGCATGTAGGGAGTTTTGCACTAATCAACAACTTGTTTTTGTTGCTGTAATGCTTTTGTGCTTACATGGGAAATGACAAACCTCAAAGGGATAATTTAAAATGAAGTCATATTTGTTTAAGCTGTATTTCTAAGATGTAGGGAAATTTATATCCTACAAGGAAGTATATATGATACTTGGAAAAATTAATGCTTTATTAATTATCCTGTTATTGTTGCTTATACCATGAAACCTGAAACCTGAATAGCAGGTTAGCCTCTTACCCAATAGACTAACAGGTGTAGTGTTTGTGGCTATGGACTATTGAATCACTTTATCTGCTGTACCTCCTCTTTCTCACATCTTGTCTAAACTGTTGCACAAATATAAATTTAAATTTGTGCTAGCAGAGATAATGAATTATGTCTAGGATAATAAATTTATACCTTAAAAGATTAATCTCCAATATAAATTTTGCATAGCAGAATCAATTATACTATTAACCTTGATTTTAGGTGATTCTGTTTTTTCTTTACGTAAATCTGCTTCTCCTGAGAACTCGTACTCCTCCTTACCCAGCAGACTCAATGAGGCCCAGTCTAGCAGTAGTCCCCGTCCTCCTCTTCACACTGTCTCCACCATGCCTCCTCGTAAAACTGTTTCTCCTGCTGTTAATGTTCTTCCTTCACCGAATGCACCATACGACATTACACAAGAACATCAATTATTATCAAACCATGCCTCACCTTATGCACCAGTACAGCACAATACCCTGTACCATCCTCCCTCTAATCCTCATGTTTTATCGTCACACGCTCACATGCACGGATTACATTATTCAGGCCTGCCTCAGGTTAGTTCTGGAGCTTTTTCTTCCCCACCTATGGTGCCTCAAATGCCTCCACAGCCTCAAATGCCTCCACAGCCTCATCATATGTATTATGAAACACATCAGAGACCAGAGGAGCACTTATTGAGGCGAGTACAGACTGATCAGCATAGACCTCTTTCTCAAGCAAGACCACACATGGTTCAAGGGGTACCACCATATCATCATCATGGGAGCATTCATCACGTGAACCCAATTGTACTGCAACATGTGAGACCAGAGATGGTAGAAGCAAGACCACAGTTAGTGAATGAGCCACTGGAACAGACCCAGTATCACTCTCTACCACATCATAATGTTGTTAACTATCCAGTCCATCCTGTACCTCTTGCCTCTCAACGAGAAGCGCCTCGTCCATCAAACCCAGTCACTACTACTAATGATAGACCAAAGTTGACAGGGTATACTGAAGTGTCTCATCCTATATCTAGTGATAATGGGTCACCAGTCCCAGTTAGTGCTCACCAGGGACAGTATGTGGGCCCCGTGGGGTATCCTGTTACACAAGAAACTGATCATGAAGATAAATCAACTAGCTCTTTTTATTCTGCTGAAGGTGGGCCTGCATCACTTCCAAAGACTCCAAAAGTCAGTTTTGATACTATAATAGTTATTATGAATTATCATCAAACTTTTGTTTTATAGGATCCGTGGGTTCCTCTTATTCAAAAGTATATGGAGCTATTGGAGAAGAAATCAACTAGTTTATCTGTTCCAAGAGATAAGTCGCCTAATCCAAGCAGTGATGCTAGCAGCAAGACGCAGCAATATCCTCGAAACAGCAGACACGCTAAACAGAAGAAAGACGATCAGTCACTTTTACAGAAAGAGCTTGATAAAGCATACGAAAGGATTAGCTCGTTAGAAGTAGGTTATAGCATTTTTCACGAGTTGTTGAGATTGGATCAAATTAATTTAATTTTATAATAATTTTGAAGTAATCGTAACTACTAAATAATACATGTATTTCCATGATGACAGACAGAACACTGGTTTTATGAATGACAGTCATTATTGCGTTTTGTAACTTGATTGTGATCATCCTCTGATTGGAGCATATGATATAGCGATCAGTCACTCTTTCTCAAGGTATCCCAACTAGTGGTACATGTGTCTTGTTATTATCTTAGCAGAAGAAGAATAACTGCCTCCAGCGGAGAGGAATGACTTGTTACTTATTCTTTAGCTTGGTGCTCTAATTACATGTAATTTATAAGCATTGTTTATGATACAATAATAGAAAAGCTTTCTTGTAGTTATAATCAGCAGGAGGTCCTTGTTTGTTTGGAAAAACGATATTGGAATAATATTTGGATTTTGTTAGACTTTAATATCAGGCAAGATCTAAATGTGATCTCCTACTGTACCTCCTTTTGTCTGATTTTGTTAATTTTTCCTTTTTTATAGATCAGAGTGCAAGACCTGACTGCCCAGGTTACATCAGAGATACCAGAAGACAGAGACTTATCTCTCCTTTCACGCCAGAAGCTAGAACAAGATTATAAAAAGTACCTTATATACTTTGCTCATACACTTTGTGAATTCATTATGAGTTTTTATATTTTTGTGTACTAATTCTTTCAACACGTGAATTTTATGAATTATGGCTATAGTGAAAATGACTAGCTGTATCGTAGTATTCAACTGACCATAAGAAATAAATTTTTATATCTGCTGTTTGGCAAACACGACTAGCCAATGTTTTGTATTGACTCAGCTTTAGCTTATTAATCAATTTTAGACTGCCAGGTCAGCTTGTAATGACCTAATCTACATTAGTCTTCCATATTGGACAATAGGTCATGCATTGTAATCATGAGGGAAGCATTTGTAGACAAACATGGACTTTCATGCTTTGTATAGACTTGGAATCCTGTTAACATTGTGTAAACAACTAAACTCAGCAGGACCACCTGTCTATATTGAGCTATATCTTAATTTATAGGATGAGAGAACTGAAGAAGAAAGCAGAGATGCAAAGTATGGAAGCAAAGCAAACAGCTCAAAGAGTGAGTACTCCAGTCAAACACATAACAAAGCATTAATAATCGTATAGCCAAAAACTTTCAAGGGATTAAAATTTTGTGGATCTGTCCAAAAATCATTTTTATGCATTGGTTTTTACAAATCAAATCCTAATCCTGCAATCTTGTACTGTAATTATCTAGATTTTGACAGATTTTATTTTTTGTAAATATCAATGGAATTGCAAAATCAGTAAAAAATTAAGTCCCTTAAAAGCTTTCAGCTATTATGATAATAATTAACTATAATCATAATTACCATTTTTGATGCTATTGGTATATTTGTTGCAGCTCATTGCTGAGAACTTTCGTTTAAAAGAGGAACTGTCTCAGTTGAAAAACGAATACGATATGTTGCTGGTTGAACTGAGGAGAATGAGACGAAAGACAACAGAGAGAGAACAATGGAGAGACGAGAAGGTTGAAGTAAGTAGTTACATGAAATAAAACATGATAATAATAATATACATGTAAAATGGAGTGATAAAAATAAGTAATTATTTATAGAATCATAAGCCCTGTTTGCACTACAAACCAGTTTGGATCCAAGCGGTTTAGAAACCAGCTTAATTGTGTCCACACTTAACTGTGGTTGAATTGGTTTACAATGCTACATTGCATACATAAAGCCCCGTTTACACTATGCCCTTAAAGCAGTTTGGAACCGGTTTAGAAATAAATCAGTTTACGTGTGGACAATTTCAATGCGGTTTAAACCAACTTATCTCAAACCACCTCAGGAGGTGGTTTGAGTAATCAAACCGGTCTTATAAGTACTGAAGCAGCTGTATTATGTATGCAATGTAGCATTGTAAACTGATTCAACCATAGTTACATGTGGACACAATTAAGCTGGTTTCTAAACCCCTTTGATCCAAACTGGTTTGTAGTGTAAAGGTGGTTTACATAAGTTGGTTTAAACCGCATTGAAATTGTCCACATGTAAACTGATTTATTTCTAAACCAGTTCCAAACCGCTTTAAGGGCATATGTAAAGTATAATGATATACTTTAATATCTCATAATAAGTATTAGTGCTAGTGTATGGGTAGTACTATTTTTACTGTTTTTCTCTTAACAATTGGAGAGCAATATATGCCAAGAATGAGTAGTAGAGGTGTTTGTTAGTTTAGAGTTAATGGCCTGTACTATTCCTTTTACAATCAATGGATGGTTAGAAAATGATAAAATATAATTGATATTGGTATGGAAGTTATGCCACTATTGTTTTGGATGTAGGCTATGAGAAAATCTTTTCGTGAAGCAGTTGAAATGAATTTTAAAGACTTTGAATTGACAGGTGGTCGTGGAGCACTCATAGCTGAAGGTATGGGATGCATAGAAACAGTATTAATGTGTATTTTGATCAGTAAGAAACATCAAAATTTAACATCTCTCCTTCTCTCTCTCTCTTTTCTTTTTGATAATAGTATCAGATTATCCAACTGAAGACTTTAGTCTTGAGCTGTTTTGGAAGATAATAAAGGAGGAGGAAGCTGATTTCACTGTAGGTCAAGTTGCTTTGATGGGTTTACCTTCAGCTGGCAAGACAACGTTACTAAAGTCCCTTTTAGAGAAGGAGCTCGGTGGCCAGATACCAGAGCCAAGAAATGGAGAGCCAACTTGCATTGAGTTCTATGAACTATTGGCCACCATTAATCCACTGACTGGTAAGCTTACAATGTAGCATGAGGATGAATAGATAATGGCAAAGCAATAGTCATTGGTCCTGCTTTACAACAGAATTATACTCAGGGTTTCCCACAGGGGATGATAGATGAGCTAAATTGCATGTTTGATATAAGCTGACATACATGTATTATAGTATATGGCTTTTGGTGCAAATTTAAAAATTCGTGAAAAATTCAATTGTGATCGGAATCAGCTCAAATTTGATACACAACATAAGTACATGTATATGTATCAGAAAAAATTATAAAAATGGAGAATTCTCTCATTTTCATTTTTGGCAAAATTTGACCAAGAACCCTGTACTATAGTACAGGGACTTTGGCCCAATTTTGGAGCAAATTTAAAAATTCATGAAAAATTCAATTGTGATCGGAATCAGCTCAAATTTGATACACAACATAAGTACATGTACATGTATACGTATCAGAAAAAATTATAAAAATGGAAAATTCTCTCCTTTTCATTTTTGGCAAAATTTGACCAAGAACAGGGACTTGGCCCGATTTTGGAGCAAATTAAAAAATTTGTGAAAAATTCAATTGTGATCAAAATCAGCTCAAATTTGATACACAACATAAGTACATGTATATGTATCAGAAAAAAATTATAAAAATGGGGAGTTCTTTTCTTTTTGTTTTTGGCGAAATTTGGCCAAGAACATTGTACTATAGTACAGGGACTTTGGCCCGATTTTGGAGCAACTTTAAAAATTCATGAAAAATTCAATTGTGATCGGAATCAGCTCAATCTTGATACACAACATAAGTACATGTATATGTATCAGAAAAAATTATAAAAATGGAGAATTTTCTCCTCTTCATTTTTGGCAAAATTTGACCAAGAACCCTGTACTATAGTACAGGGACTTTGGCTCAAATTTTGGCTGCTGAGCATATTGTCAAAATCCTATTGGACCCCTTAGCTAGTATCATTAATTTTTTGTTTTATAGGTGACTCGAAGTGGAAGAATATACCTGGTATTGATTCAGCTGCAGAATTTCTAGCAAGAGTAACCGCAAAGTATTATTATCGTCAGAAGCGTAGCCCGTCCTTTGCTACCGACTCAATAGCTGGACCACTGTCTAAGCTTTTCCCTTCTATGAGTGAGGTAGCTGTCAAGAGTACGTTAGAGAAGCTCTTCAAGAAAGTGAAGGCATTGCTTGAGGAAGAGAAAAAGGAGGACAGCATGACACAGCTAGCCCTCTTTCAACCTCTGTATATGAATGTGTGGGATGTTGGTACGAATCGTGCTCTTTTTTCACAGTTACTGCCAGTAGTGGCTGGCCACAGTAAGCAGCTTGTTATACTCAACGTCATTGATCTTGAGCGAGATGTCCCCACAGCAACTGCTGAGCCACCGAGAATGTCTTATGAGAGATACCAGAAGAGAGGAGATGATAAAATATTTATGCAGCTCTACAGCAAATTTGAGTATTTTATGTTAATAGCTGGTCTGAAGAAATGGTTCAATTCTGATATTTCTCCAACTGATAAGCCGTATGATGTCACACTGGTCGGTACGTACACTAAACAGCTCTTGACAGAGAAGGGAGAAGAAGGAGTCAAAGAGCTCGTTGATCTACTCAAGAAGCATGTCCTCTTGTGGGCAACAGAGTTTGGTATTTCAAGCATCATCAATCCGAATATTTTGACGTTTTGTATCGATGGAGACAAGGTTCTCAGAGATAGAGAGCTCTCAGCTGTAAAGGACTCAATACAGAGTCTTGTCAAAGCCCATGCAAAGAATTTGACCATATTGAAGTCATTCCCGGCTAAATATTCTCTTTTACGTAGTGTCCTTTACAATCCTACTAGTATCTCTATATCATTGAAGCGTTTATCAGTCTTGGCTCGTTCCTGTTGTATCTATACTGAGGATAGTTTAAAGGAGTGTCTTCTTGTGTTCCGAAACATTGGCTCTATAATCTTCAATCCTGAAATGGATCCAAGGACAGAGCAGTTATTTATCATCATTGATGTCTCCCGAATGATCAAGTTCTTAGATAGGCTCTTTTATATAGAGCACTATCACTCAACTCGTGCCCTTGACCTCTCAACAGAAGAGAAGCAGTACCTCAACTATTACAGACATGGCCTTGTCACTACAAATATTGCACAGAAGCTCTTCACTAAAAGTGAGTATCAGTCTGTCCTTTGGTACTTGTCGTTCTGCAAGGTAGCAGTTGAAGTCAAAGTCCATGACAAGCAGTTGCACTTCATGCCTTCACTGAGGAACAAGGCCAATACTTCATCCCCGCGTCAGCTTAGTCTCTATGTTCAGTTTGACAGGCATTACTTCCAGTGTGATCAACTGGTTCTTTTTCATCACAAGCTCACAAAAGCTTTTCCATTACCTGACAGTGTCGAGATTGATCCCTGCGATGAATTCAATATGACTCGCTTTAAATACAAGTCGGGCTCTGACAGCAACAGTTCTCTCATTATTGAGATAATATACCACAAGAGTGTCATTGAAGTCAGAGTCCTGGCTAGTGACTCACACGGGGAGGAGCAGGGATTGCTCAACATTTCTCTGTGTTCTAAAATTCTAAATCTCTGTAAATTAGTGTACGACGACGTTTGTAATAACGTACAGATAGGTCTTAAGTATCATTTTGGTTTGTTTTGTCCTCGTAATGATCCTGATAATGTTGACCCCCACTACTTTAAGTTCAGCCCTGGAGAAAGGAAATCACTGTACTGCAATGAATGTGAAGCTGATGTCCAGGAACTGATAAAGGATGATCGCTTACATTGGATTAATGCAGAAATTAATAAAGACTTGTAGGTAGAACTTTCAATTCATTTATTCTCTTTACACATTGTTCAGACTATTGTGCATAACTTTTAGTCTATAGTTATTGCAATTAATTTCATGATTAAATTTTGTCAAAAAATCACAAATTAAAGTTTTTCAGTGTTTAATCACTGGTTAAATTTGTCAAGCACACGGCTGAGAATCTTCATAGCACTTTGCATGCAGGAAAGACTGCAATACTCATTGTCTCCGTGATACACATCACTATGTCCATATCCAGTTATCTATAGGAAAAGGAACAATATTTGGTAGAACTATTATTATTATAATATTGGTCAACAGTGCATGATTCACTTACTTGAACATCAAAGCCTGCTTCCTGTAGGTCAGCAACTAGTGGTAGACTACCACAGTCAGAGTATGGTGTACTGCTACCAATAACTTCTTTTGTTGCTTCATTAAGGTGAATGAAACCAGGAGAATCCAATTTGCATGCAATGCCCTACGTATAAAGTAGTGAGAGAATGCAGCAATAGAGTTATACACTATAATATTTTTATACCTTAAATATCTCTTCAGTCAATTTAAACTCAATCTTGCCTGTTTTCTCTTCTCCAGTTACTGAGTTTGTAAATGAGTATTTACTACAAGGCCCACGAGTATTCAAAACACTGAAATCTAAATAATAAGAT